CAATACATTAAAATTGTTTATCATTTATCACCACTAATTTTATATGATAAAAATGAATGGGTTTTACGTATATTAATTGACCTTTGAATAAATGTTTAGACTTTTACAAAAGTGGATATATTAGCTCCCATAATAATATATTATTTATAAAATTCTAAAGTAAGGACAAGAATGTTATAATATCAATTTAATCCGATAGTAAGGCAATACATTAAAATTGTTTATCAGTTATCCCCATTAATTTTATATGATAAAAATGAATGGGTTTTACGTATATTAATTGACCTTTGAATAAATGTTTAGACTTTAGAGGCTCCGTGCATAGTCTTGCTTGAAAATTTTGGTTCGCTTGTCTTTTTATATGGAACATAGTGTTGATTACACACTTACATGCTTAACTCTATGGTGTACTTTAAACAAAGTGTTGTTTAATAATTTGATAATAAATTTGTACATTCTTATCGTATAGACATTCGATAATAACAATATGTGTATTATTGTTTAAATGTGTAAAAAAGAGGCCAAGGGCGACAGATTTGCTAAAAAAATTCATTTTTTTTATAAATAATATAAAAAAAACGTGTTAAATAATATTATAATATATTTTAATAAAGTAATTTTCAATATTGCGCATTTAAATATATTATTGATGAGTTGTTCCGTAACAAGAATGTCCTCTTTAATTTTATATTATTTATGAAAATTGAAAAATACACTTGAAAACATCATCGTATGTCATTTTTCATGCTTACAAATTGGGATATTATTCAGATCGAAACTGAATCAAACTGAATTATATTCTATCTGAACAAACTCGAAATCTAACAAGAATAATTTGAAGAATTGAAAATCAAACGATTAAACCAATATAATGTGATTTTTTTTCTTCTGTTTTTTAAGAAAACAATTATTCGTGATTTTGACCTCAAACATGTAGAATTTAGATATACTCTTTCATTTTAAAAATTACGTTGCTGTCAGCCAAATAAATTACAAATAAGTCTTTTTATTTAACTAAAATCGAAATTAAAAAAATCCACCAATAACTAGAACTACACGTTGTCGAATTAAAAATTTAGAATAAGATATCAATTTTAGTTGTATCAATCACTCAAAGATCTTATAGAATCTTCTCGATGTATATAGCTTCGGCGGTGGCTTTATTTATAATAATATTTAAGTTATATATATATATATATATATATATATATATATATATATATATATATATATATATATATATATATATATATAGAAAAAATAAATATACCCTTAAGGGTATATATATATATATATATATATATATATATATATATATATATATATATATATATATATATATATATATATATATATATATATATATATATATATGGGAAAAATGAATATACCCTTAAGGGTATATAAACTTAGGTACCCAAACTCACCATACCACATCGTTTTATATCATATAATACATTCTAATTGTTTAATGTTATTATAATTTAACTTCTAACTTGATTTACTTCCAATATTTTTATAATTTACACATTTATCTTCCTCTTATATAATTTTCATTTTCAACTACAATATACATAGCCTAGTAGGTGTTTGGCAAAAATATGTGATGTAAGAGAATAATAATAGTGAAATTTCGAATATCTTGAAAGCAAATCAAGTTACGATTGAAATTTAACAATATTATAATGAATATATCAAACAAAACGATGTATTATGGCATGTTTGGATACGTAAGCTTATATACCCTTAAGGGTATATTCACTTTTCCATATATATATATATATATATATATATATATATATATATATATATATATATATATATATTATATATATATATATATATACACACACACACACACATAGGGAAAAGTGAATATACCCTTAAGGGTATATAAGTTTAGGTACCCAAACTCACCATACTACGTCGTTTTGTATCATATATATACATTGTAATTGTCTAATGTTTTTATAATTCAACTTCTAACTTGATTTCATTCAAAGATTTTTATAAATTTCACATTTATTTCCTCTTACATAATTTTCATTTTCAACTATAATATATATAGCCTAATTGATGTTCATTAAAAAGATGTGATGTAAAACGAAGATAATAATGAAATTTTGAAAATCGTGAAAGTAAATCAAATTAAGGATTGAAGTTGAAGAACATTAGAATAAATATATCAAACACAACAACGTATTATGGTGAGTTTTGGTATCTAAGCTTATATACTCTTAAAGGTATATTCACTTTTCCTATATATATATATATATATATATATATATATATATATATATATATATATATATATATATATATATATATATATATATATATATATATATATATTCAGGTTCATTTGAGACCATTATAATTTTATGAGACCGTGAGTTCAAATCTAAAAATAATTTTAAAATGCAAAATAAATGAAAAAATCCAAAAATTCTTTTTTTAAATATTATTTTCGGAACTGAAGTTAACTAAAAAAAATAAAAAAAAATTCCGTTTTTTTTTTAAAAATATGTGAAATATTCTAAATAGAATATTACGCTGACATATTCTAAAAAATAATTTTAAAATGCAAAATAAATGGAAAAATCTAAAAATTCTTTTTTTAAATATTATTTTCGGAACTTGAATTAACTAAAAAAAATAAAATAAAAATTCTATTTTTTTTAAATACGTGAAATATTCTAAATAGAATATTACATTGTACATATTCGAAAAATAATTTTAAAATGCAAAATAAATGGAAAAATCAAAAAAAAATTTAAATATTATTTTCGGAACTTGAATTAATTAAAAAAAATAAAAAAAATAAAAAAATACATCTCACGGTGTCACAAAATTAGGTTGTCTCACATGAACCTAACCATATATATATATATATATATATATATATATATATATATATATATATATATATATATATATATATATATATATATATATATATATATATGTAGAAAACTTCAATAAAAATTAAAAAAACATAATTATTGGTTCTTCAAGAAACTAAATCTTTTTTTCAATTTCTAGAGTGTATTCTTTATCGAAAAAAAATTAAAAATATCTAAATTCATATATTAACATTGTGAATGTGAAAAGTGTTTTTCGGATTCACCGTGTAAATCCGGATTCACTTTGTGAATTTTCAAAAATTCACATTGTGAATTTGACGTAAAAAAAATAAAAAAAAAAGATTTTGAATTTTATATCATTGGAAAAATGATAAAAAGTTATGAATTTCTGTATTTTTAGTTTTTTTTTTATAAAAAATAAGTTCTAAAAGTTGAAAAAAAAGATTGGTTCCTTGGTTTCTTAGTTAAATATGGTTCTCTATCGAAACTCACTATAGGCAGTTGAAAAAAAGATTGGTTTCTTGGTTCCTCGTTTGGTTGTGGGCTTAGGGCAGATTCACACAATTAACTATCCGTTCGATATTAGATAATATATATAACTAGTATAAACTAAGTGATTATCGAATGAACTATTGTGGTTACTATTTTTACTAAAGGAAACACGGGTTTTTCTTAAAGAATGTTTTTATCAAATATAAAGGAAATATTACAATTAACTCCATAAGTACCAAATGAATACCCCATTGTTATATACAGTAAAGATCTAACAACCAATGGGATGTGTGACTTCCGCCTCATTCCCTGTTCCTTGTTTGGTTGTCGGCTTAGGGCAGATTCCCACAATCGATTGGTTGGTTGCTCTGAATTGTATATAACTTGTTTCCATTTAGTATATATAGTAAGGATTGTAGAGTCATTTTTACTTATCTTTCATCATATCAGAAGATATAGGATCTTTTGGAGGAACAGACAGACTTTTCTAAAAGAACTTTCAACTTACATTACATCTCTAAAATCTTATGAACTCACCAGCTTAAAAGTTGATCTACTCTTTCAAAATAACTTTTATTCTCAGGAAACTAGTAGATAAGTAGGCTTGTCGAGATTAAGATGATGAAGTATAGTAGCTTCATGTCTTATCTTGTTATTTACTTTTGGATTCAATCTTTTGTGAATCATTTCTTGTAAACACTTTAATATTAATACAATGGTTGTTTGTTACAATGATTGCTATGATACATTGTTGTGATACCACTACTAGAAAACAGCCCTTTAATGACACGCAAATAGTGACACTCGCTGATAGAGGATGCGCATTTGTGTGTGCCCTAAAAAATGATGTCAGTTTTGCAAAATTTGAAGGATAGGGGACACGTATTTTGTGCGTGCCCTAAAAATAGTGTCCAACAAATAAAATTAAAAACACGGAGGGCACGTATCATAAAAAAGTGTGTCGTCTAAAAATGTCGCTTTATATTTTTCTTTATGAACGTGCGTTCTCCAGTTTTTTAATTGCCAAGGGGGGAATGAAATCCAAAAAATTAAAAAACCCCGCCTTGATACTCTCGTCCTTCTTCTTCTTCTTCAAAATCCTCTTCAATCAAAAGAAACCCTAAAAGCATTGTGTGTAAAAGATCGATAGTTTCATATTTGAAGTTCCTAAAATCTTCATCGATCAAAAGAAACCCTAAAACCCCGCCTTGATACTCTCGTCCTTCTTCTTCTTCTTTAATGTTGTTTCAAAATAACACCGATTTTCTCATTTTCCCCTATTTTTGTTAATCTAAAGATTGGTACTCGACATGATGCAACTCTGATTAGTATTTCGTTTCCGATTCGTCTGAATTGAGGGTTTTTTTCTGTAACATTTCAAATTAGGAGTTCATATAGGGTTTTTTTGATTAATTACAAATAGGCGTTTACTAATTGCTACTTTGATTATTGGTATTTGGAGTTTGATTTGTGAGATTAGTAAGATAGCCAGGCGATCCGTGTATTGGGACTCAAACAATGGGATCGAACGGTGGAACATAAAAACCTGTGTTCAATGGATTGTCAAGGCAAGGATCTCTGCATAACCTAACTTTAGATGAGGTTCAGCAGCAATTAGGCAATTTAGGGAAACCTTTCAGTAGTATGAACCTTAATGAGTTTCTGAAGAATGTTTTGAGTGTCGAAGATAATCAACGAATCAACAATGGATCCTCCCTTGATTACTCCGAACTCACCCAACTTGCTTCTGCTTCATTTTTGCCTAGACAATTAAGCCTTACATTCACCAAGGATTTAACCAAGAAGACAATCGATGAGGTCTGGAAAGATATCCAACAAGATCAGAAGAAAAAGAAGACTAATGGTAGTGAGAGTAACATTAATAATACTAGTAGTTGTAAGAGACAAGCTACTCTTGGTGAGATGAAACTCGAGGACTTTTTAGTCAAGACAAGGATAATATTTAAATCTTCTTCTCCTGGTAAGAAAAAACATGAGCAGAATCTTGATCCACCATAAGCACAGTGGATGAACTACCAAATCCCTCAGATTCCACAGTAACATGTGGTTATGTCAGGCCATTAT